GAGGAGTTTTCAAACAAACTCTTGTCATCAATCTTTCTTGTACTTGTTTTGTTGTCTTGTCTTGCTCTTGCCATAAAGATAGATGTGGATCATCAATAAAGTAATGATTGTTTACCATTAGTGTATATTCAGACTGAGTATGTTTTCTGGTGCAGCTCAGCAGGTATCTGCTATTACCTCCCAAATATTCCTTGCAAAGTACAGCACAAAAAATATTTATACATAAAGTATCACAGAATCACAGCACAGCTAAGGTTGGCAGGGACCTTGAGATTATCTAGTCCAACCCCCTGCTCAAAGCAGATTGCTCAGGGTCTTTTCACAGTCATGCTCTGAATTATCTCCAAGGATGGATACATGAGTCACTTAGAGCAGAAAGCACCTACTCTGTACCTGAAATGCTGTCAGGAACTATTAAAATAGACTGCAGCCTGTGTTTTTGTGTACAAAATAAAATGTAAACTGGGTTTCTGGTGGTACTACAAGAAAAACATGAGTCTGGAGTGCCAGTTGAGGAGAAAAGACAGTATGGGAAGATAAGGTCACCACAGGTCACCACCAGTGACCGGGTATATTATAAATCAGTAGAGATGAACATAACCCATATCACATTTCAAAGCCTAGATGTGGCTCTGACAAGGCAAGGCAAGCAATAGAACTACTTCTTTTTTAAAATAACTGGGTTTAGAGCTATTACCACCACTTGCATGGCACTATTCATCATCTGCCATTCTTTTAGCAAATGTTCTCTCCAGTCATCATCACATTATCTGTGGGGGACAGCTTCTATAAATGGGCTTGATGAAAATGTGACTTTTGAAATTGAGGGGTGCTGTTATAGTTAACAGTGCAATCTCCCCTTGTAATCACTCCACCAGTGAAAGCAAAAAGAAGCTGATTCATCTTCAAAACATTTCTCTTTTTGCTTGTTTTTCTCACTGTATGATGTTACATTGCTAGGAAACACACGCAAACTCCTACTGAGGATTCCCAATAAAAACCCAGTGCCAGCAGTTACCACCAGGTTGCATAATTTTCTCCTCTGCTTGGAACAGCATCCCCTTGCAGCCCCTATGAGCTAAGGGAGCCAAGCTGTATTTTCTCATGGCTTTTTGCCTGTAAATGCATAGCCATTGACGGTCCCAGAAAAACACATCAGAAGTGCTTATGTTGATTCTTCTCTTTTTTCCTACAGATTCAGGCTGATCTTGCCAGATGGACCACTTGACTTTAATCAGACAGTTGTATCGATAAAACATCTGGGCTTAAAATGGTACTGACATTTTGAGGGGTTTTGTTGGAGGGGACATGAGTCATAAAGCCTGGACTGAGGGGTTTGGTGTATGCTGGCAATATGCAGCTTTTACGTCAGCCAGTACCCAGGATTTGGTGGAAAGGAAAAGTAGCTGTGCATCCATGGAAGCCTTTCTCTATCTGTGGACAATGGGCAAATTGTAAGCATTGTTTTCATCCTTCTATCTTCACTGTGGCTGCTGGCGACTATCGATCATCATCACTGACTCTACTGACACAGTGCCAAAAGTGCTTTTTGCTGAAAACTTCCAGGTGGACCCTTATAGGTTCTGTTACAGGGGATCTCTTCTCCTCATCTTCAATTATGAATGGCATCAAGCTTTTAATATTTAGGGTATACCAAAAAGTTTATCCCTTTACCCAATTTCTTGTCATAAAAAAGCAACAATAGTTGCTGGTACTTTTAAGTGTGATCATGTGTTATTGTTATGGCTTGTTTTTCATTAATATCAAACATGCCAAATCTCCAGACAAGATGCCATTTTTATCTTTCATAAATGGAGCAAGCATATGAAAACAAATTGCTCCATGAGGGCTGGTGTTAGGGATGCCCACCTGTCCCACTTGCTTACCTGTGCTCCCTCTGATCCTTCCCACACCTGGACTTTTCCACCCCAGCAACCACCTTTACCTTCCATACTGGCGCCTTCTCCAAATTTCCTGGAGAGACCTCACTGCTGCAATGCTGCACGGCTGCAAGAGGCAGCGAGAATACAACTTGCTTCTCAGTGAACACTGGCAAACTGGCCTGGCATCAGGATCAGGGGCATTTTAAAGTGAAATAAAGTAATCTACCTTTTTAAACTCAGTTCCCCTCTAATAACTTACAGGTATGTATCAGCACCATTCATTTAATGTCTCATGCTTCATTTAAGCTGGAGAAACACTTACAAATGTAATTATTCATGCTCTCTGGTTTTTCTCACTCAGAGTTTTCTGCTTTCAAGTCTTTCCTGTTGGCTTTTCCTTTGAGTCCCATCTGGTCTATACACTGTTTCAAGCCTAGCTATGGTGAAAATTACAGCTACACCCTCAGTAACTTTCGCCTTATTATCACCTCCTGTATGGAAAAAGAACTTTCTCAAACATTTCTACAGGATGTACACTCACTGAAGGGATACAGTTCTAAGCTGTGCTTTCCTTGTAAAGCTATACATTGGTGTGCTTAAGTCTTTCCAGACATTTAGCACAGTATTTGCTCTCTCCTCACACACAATCCTACACAAACCTGATGAGAAACAGCTTCTGAAGTTCTGGGACAGCACTCTGGCCTCTTTTTGTTTTGTATTCTTTATGCCTTTCAAAAGACAGTTTTTTTCCATTACCTTTTTCTTTAATGTTTCCCTCCCTTGCATATTTGCCATATGACAAATGCGTTCTCTACTTGATCGTTAGTAGGTCTGTATGGGAGCAATCCAAATTTTGTGGGGCAGGCTTAGTTTTGGATTAGGAGTCAGAGCTACTGAAAGATTTAGACCTTTTCTGATTTAGGAGTTCAGTACAGGTTTCACCAGGGCTGAGAACTTACAAAGTACTCCTGCATGGAAGCTGGTTCAGAAAGAGGGTTTTCAGCTGGGCAGATTTATAGCGTTCATATATCTAAAATCTAGATATGTGAAAATATACATATAGTCCTACCACATCCCACTGTCAAATGATTCATCAGCCTGGGATCTTTTTCTGTCTTAGCCTCGACTTCCCAGAAATTATCAGCCCAGGGCACACTTCCTCAGGTAGACTGTATTTCAAAGTAGGTGGCTGGATCCAGACTGAATCACTAGCCATGAGGGGAGGAGACCACTCAGCCAGCTTTCACAGCAACGAATACGTATGCCTAACATGTCTTGGTAAACAAATGTTTTGTAGCTCTCTGTATGAGTATCACCAGAAGCAACGCATGCCCATACTAATGATTCCATACAAATCCAACATGGATTATTGCTGCAGAGATTGTAGATATTGGAATGGTAAAGGTCTCTGATAACAAAATGGGAAACCCTGAAAAGTGCAGGTCAAACATGAGATGCTGGAGCTGACACTGCAAGATCATGGAAGGGAGACACTGCAAGTTCTTGGAGGTCTGACTGAGGTCTGAATCCCCAAAACCTTCAGCCTACCATTGGATACCATTTATGGCTAACGTTGCTTAATTTTTGTAGACAGTAACTCCCCTTCCTGTGAGTCTTAAAATGCACTGTACACCAAACTTGCCTTTGTGGGAAAAAAAATTTAAGAGATGAAAAGGACAGCATAGGGGATAAAAGCTATCATTTTATTCTCCTTACGGCTATGACAATGGGAAGCACCTTAAAGGGTGTACACACTGAGAAGAGTCAGCAATTTAGCAATTTGTGTTTGTTCACACCACTGAAAAACCGTAGCTTTTTGTTAATCTTGTTGTTGATCAAACAGAACACTTACACTTGTTAATTACTTAAAATAGCAATAAACGGATTTTATGCTGCTCTTCGGAACTGTTGCAACTATTTTGTCACCAGAAAGAGTTGAATTTGGGACCTGGAAATCGATGAACTCAAAAATATCACATTCAGTTTAGGGGAAACAAAACTTCTTTCTACTCAGTTTCCATATTGCCCGGGCTTGGGAGATTTCTTGTGACACAAGTCAAAGAACTCATTGGGTTGCTCTAAGCTGAGCCTGGTTGCCAGCCAAAACAGTTCCCCAGAGACTTCTATCAGGTAAGAATCATGGTAGTTAAATGCACTGCTCTGCAATATCTGCAGCTCCTCTGGACTGTGGGTAATTAGTTACAAGACAATGCCAGACTGATAGTAGGTCAGGGTTTCTGCCATTGTGGCATAAACTACTCCCTCCTTAAAGAAATCTTAAGGTCACATTGTACACTACCAATATCACCTTTTGGATCTGGCCTAATAGCTTTAGTTTATACATCAAAATTACTGAGTCATTGGAAACTATAAGCCAGATTAATATTCCACGTATTGTAGCATAATGTGTTTTCTTCTGTAAAATAAATGTCAATTAAATATCACTCACTACCAAGGACAGTTGGCTTGCAATGTCTGATAACTCTTTGAGCACAAACAAGGAGTTTTACAACACCAGGAATTTGGCAACATGATGGAAAACTTTGGCCTAAGTGAACATGTACATCTCATCTTTATCCATATAAAGACATCTGACCAATTTACCCCTAAACTCTGACAACAAAAGAAATGCAGGAACTGTTTGACAGACAAACAGACCTGTCTTTTGTTTACAAATGCCAAGACTGCTGGATCCCTGGCTTCAGAGATGCTTGACATGCAATGCGGTGCAGCTGTGGCCATCCCCAGGGAAAGCAATGAGACGAGTGTTATTTGAGTATGCTCTCAGCAAATACTGACTGAGAGTCCTGTCCTCCAAATAGTTACTGTTTGACAGCTGCTATTTATTATGAGAAAAATACCAACTGTAAATTTGCTGGCTACTTCATTTACCTTAAGCTCAGCAGCAGCCATGGTGCTAGGATATTAAAAGGCAAATTTTTCATTTAGTACAACTGACCCCAAATTGCCAGGGACCAATTGGTTAGATTGCTGGCTATTAATTACCAGCATGTTTGTAATGTCTTGGCTACTTCCAAGATTAAGTACAATCTAAAACTATTAGGACAGTATGTTCCTGGAATTGAATTAATAGAGGATAATGCTGATTTTGCATACACAGCTTTGCAGCTCCTACCTGTAAAGTGCTGATGTGTACAGGAGTCCCTGTGCCATTCACAGTATTCTTCTTGGCAGCATTTCCACCCTTCCCTTCTGCTTGTTCCGCCTTGGCAATCTTTGCTTTTTCAGCTTCAATTCTCTTTGGATTGTTTAGCATTACCTGAACCACAGCATACTCCACCAGGGATGCAAACCCAAAGAGAAGGCAAACAATCAGCCAGACATCTAAGGCCTTCACATAAGACACTTTGGGAAGTTCAGCAGCGAGAGTGGTACATTCAGATGCCAAGCTGAGCACTGAGAAAATACCTATGAAAAGAAAAACAAAGTACTGATTAAAGAAAGCTTACTCTTCTTGGCACTGGCTGTGCTCTCCCTCTGAAACAGACAATACTGAATGATGTTTTGCAACAGGAATGGGACTTCACAATGTGGTTGGTGCAGCAGAAATACGAAGTGCACATAATGAACAAGTTAGACTGAATACTTAGGTAGGATTTGCAGTTAATGATGAATTATTAATAATGAGTATCTTTATTTTATAAACAAAGAAACAAATAAATGATGCTAAATCGGTTGCTGTGATTTTCCTGCCCTGTCACACATAACACAGTTGCAAAATGGGCCTTCCAAAAGACTTACCTTACAACATGCATCTAATTCTGGGAAGGTGGAAAAGAAATACATGATACTTAAACCAAAAGACTCCAAGTCCCTTAAATTACACTACTGTTGTCCCAGAAATCTGAACTGTGCTACAGCAGGAGTGATTCTCTGCATGACCTGTCCACAAGTGAGGTATGCAAGCCTTAGATGAAAGCGAAGCTTTTGCTGAAGAGCAAACAGCATATTAAAAGTCTCTGTTCTCAATTCATTGTGAAGATAAAAACACAGAGGTGACTGAGGGCCTACCATCACTCCCTACTGGAGCTTCCAGGATCTAGAGGAAACTTTCTAGATAAAGGGCATTTCAGGAAGCCCTTATCATGATAAAACCAACACATCTGCAAAGGCTGTTGAAAGGTCACACTCATCATCAAACTGGGTTTCAACAAACATTTCTCCTAACAAGGCTTCCAAATATCAGCATCAACACAGGGCTTACATCACAAGAGACAAAATACAAGCCTGATCTCACAGCAAGGTTCCCCACAGGCTCCTTTGAAATGGAAATAGTAGTAAGAACAGCTACATTTTGAAAAAGATAACTTTGGAAATGGCTGTAATGTGAGGAAAACTTAGTTCAACCTCTCAGTTCAGAATGTCCCATTTTGGTTTTGTGAAAGTTAATGACAAAAATCTTTAGTTCTGAGTAGGCAGCTTCATGAAATGTGATTGATGTCTATAGAAAATGTTGGCAAAAGGAGACACTCAGTCTCAACTACGTTTCTTATATTTCTGACATGCTATTCAAAGACTGGAAAGTTTTGTAATTCATAGACGATGTTTTTCTTCAGATCCATTTTAAGTAACTGAGGATGTGAAAAGGTTACTAAAATTGTAAGTATCTGTACTGGCTTATAAAAGTATGCAATTCTAGTTGATCATAAATAACACATCATTCTATTGCTACTGTTCCCATTTGGATGTTCATAAGATTGATATGATACTTTATTTGGCATGCTTGTTTTCTTTGGTCCACTGGGATAACACAGAATGGCCAGATGTGTTAGATCAGAATGACACAGCAAATACTGAACAGACAATATTCACTGTCTGCTCTGGCTTATTTTCCATCTACTGTATCTGAAGCATCCAAGTACACACATTCCCGTAAGGACAGAAAGCATAGAATAGTCCCCTTTTTAGAAAATTTATTTTCACGGACTAACACCAGCTGTCTGAGGATGAACACTAATTATGGATCATAAGGAACTACAATAACAAGTACAAATAAGGCTGTACTGCCTCTTAAGAGAGGATATATAGGTATCCTATATTAATATATAGGGTACCTCTGCTTAGGCCTAGCTTGCTGTTCATTCTCTATCAGTGTACTGTATCAAGTATCATGCATGTCTATGCTAGACTCCTGAAAGGCAGCCTCTACCCTTACCCTGAATAACCAAATTATCCAATGATAAGGACTGGCTCAACATCTTGGATATTGTAATTTTTTTTCCTACTAACTACTGTTTTCTATCTTAATATGTGAGTATTATTATCATGCCTGGTGCTGAAAAAAATTGTACAATCACTTTGTAGAGTTTAAAATAGTAGACCTTACAATCTTGGATTTAATCCTACAAAACTAACTTACAAATTCTACTAGCTGAGAAGATGTTAGTGGATCTTTCATCTATTTGCTCAGTAGAGCAACTGAGGTTGCGGTGACCTGAATTTCCACTTGTCTGGATTCCTAGGATGGAAAGTTTATTTTCAGAGTCTAAGAAACTTCTAGGTTTTCAAGGTGACAATAAAGGGAGATAGAAGCACAGAAATACTGTATTAAGCAACTATTTGCTGCCAGACCACAGTTGGCATGGCCTCAGAGACTCTAGAACCAGAGCTGTAAATTACACATATGGCAGCAATTGCACTAGGTACCTACCTGACACAGTCCAAAGCTCAAGGTTCAAACATGAGTGAGGAGAATGAACAAATAAACTGCAAGATTATTTATTAAAAAATAAAAAGAAAAAGAAAAACAAAAGGACAAAAAATTCTTCTGTTTCTTCTCAGGGAGCTCTAAAGACAAGGGACAGAGCTTCTTCCTCCACACTTGCAAAGTAAAGGGAAATTTCCTTTTTCCAGGAAATATCTCTGCATTTTTGCCCCTAGTGTGGCATTGCTCTCAATGGAAAAGTTTAGTTTATCAGTAAGGTTAGTTACCTCCCAGCCCTAAAGCATGACTGTACAGAGCTCCTATTTTAAAAATATTACCTAAAGTTACATGTCGATAATATCTGTAAATGCCAGTCCAGTAAAGCACTTCAGTGCAAGCTGCCAGATAAATAAATCTCCCTTTTTTGAATCCATCACACTCACTGGCCTCAGCACTATCTTTTGGCACTGAATTCCACGGGTGAATTATGCACTGTATATACAAAAAGAAAATTATCTGGTTTATATTACTGCTTTAAAAATGTCTGGCTTCATCTCACTAATGGTATTGAAAAAAGTAATATTCTATTTTTCTTATAATTTGATATCTCTAACACATTCTGCCATTAAACTTCATAAACTAAAATCAAAATCTTGCCAGTCCTTCTTCATACTACAGTTTTAGCATATATCTTTATGTTTTTCCTTTGAGACCCTACATTTGTTAGCATTTTATAAAATGAAACCACTAGAACTCAGACAGATCGGAGGACAGAAGTGATGGGGGGTGAATATTTAAAGAAGAAACCTCAGAAGCACGGGAAGGAAGGAGTGGGGGGGGGGGGGGGAGGGGGGCATGCCTGCTGCAGACCTAGATGTACTTTTTAAGTGGGGAATATATCACTAATAACTACTCCAAGGTTTTAGTTACCCTGCTGTACCCCTGCATACACCCTGGACTAATGCTCCACCCTGTCAGGCCACTGTGGGGGGACAGAAGTCTAACATCCATCAGATCCTTACAGCTCCAGGGAAGATCGCACAATGGTGAAGGAAGGAAAATAATTTTTTTAATGGATGATATCACACTTTCAAACTGTAAAGAACTGGAGAGTCTTCTGTTGGGCCCATTAAAAGGTTTTAATTTAATTAGACACACACCCATTCAGTGATATAAGCCTTCATGTCGTTTAGCCACAGCGGTCCAGATACCAGTCCTTTGTGGACTTCCTTACCACCAGATAATCTTGTTGTGGGTAATGATACAAGTATCAATAGGGCTTAGCAACTAATTTAGTTCCTACATAGACACGGTTTTTTTCTTCAAATGAACATACATTCTTCCCCCAGAACATTAATCAGTCTACAAAAATATCTGCTTACTGGCTTTCGAAGCGTCTTGTACTCCTAAATCACCTGGAAACTTTTGAGATGCCTTGCCATGGGGAGCAGTAGCCCACTATACTTAAATCTAGGTACAACTGCAATAAGATATTTGTAAGAAAATATGAAGTAGCTTCTTATCTGTTGAGATCTGTATCTAGCCATTGAGAGTGTAGTGGCCATTAGGAACACTTGGGATTAGGTATCATGCACTTGACACACAAATGTTAATCTTGTTAGATTTCAAGGTCAGCTCCCTTCAAGGATGTAGCTAGAAGAGTTAGTTTGTTGCCCTCCTGCAAACTGAAGAAACATAAATCTTACCCCCCTGACAATCTTAACAACTTGTGTTACTAAATACTGACACTTGATTAAAGGATGGTGAGATTTAGAGGTCTTTTCTTCTCTGGGGATTCAGGAAAAGTCACATAACTAGGCCAATGGTTAGTATCGCTGAAAATGCATTATTGCAGAAATGCTAAACCAGAAAAGGAACCAATAAACACTTATAATAAATGAAGCAAATATACAGTAAATAAGCATTCATGTTGAGTCACAAAGACATCCATGTTACATAAATCAGCACTATGACTCTTATAAACTGAATATATAATTAATAAGCCTGTCTGGTTGGCTATTTGAAGTGCAGGATTATAAAAGTGGAAATACAGCTCAGGTTTTGATCATATTGGAGCTCACTGTGTGAAAAGTATTTCCAGTTCTTGTTTCTATCTTTCTAATTTAATGCATGCTACATTTTCCTCATACTTTCTTTTCCTTACAATGTGTTATGTTTCGCATTATGGAATGCATCCTTGCTGCTTTTCAAAGTTAGAGATTGCATTTGTCACTTGCTATCAAATTAATAGAGATTGTGACTCCTCCCCAAGTAACTATTAGTATTTATAAAGGTCCACAGGAAAAAAAATAAAAAAGGCAACACTTCCCCCGACTTGTATTCCAAAATAGACCCCAGAAAAAGGATACAATAAATGTAATGGTTTTGTTACACTTAAATAGAGCAAGGTAGACAGCTGCGGCTCACAAGCCAAAAGTAGTGCTCTAGTCATGGTTCTCCAGATTTTAAAATAGACTAGACTATTTCAGTTGGAAGACACCTATAATGGTCATCTAGTCCAACTGCCTGACCGATTCAGAGTTCACCATAAGCTAAAGTATGTTGTTAAGGGCATTGTCCATTTGCCTGTGAAACAGAGAGTCTTGGGGCATTGACCACCTCTCCGTAAAGCCTATTCCAGCGCTTGGACACCCTTTTGGTAAAGAAATGTTTCCTAATGTCCCATCTGAACCTCCCCTGCACAGCTTCCAACCATTGCCATGTGTCCTGTCACTGGACACCAGGGAGGAGAGATTGGCACCTCCCTCTCCAGTTCCCCTCCTCAGGAAGCTGTAGAGAGCAGTTAGGCCACCCCTCAGCCTCCTTTTCTCCAAACTAGGCAAGCCTGAAGTCCTTTTCACAGGGCATGCCTTACGGCCCTTTCACCAGCTTCCTCTGGATGCATTCAAGGACTTTCACATCTTTCTTAAACTGGGGGGGATTTATGGCTGTCCTTTTATTTTGCCCATCATACCACAGGAGGAGGAAGAGGCATGGTAGATAATCTGAGACAGAAGCAATGGGGCTCAGGCCAGGGGGTATGTGGATACTTTTCCACTTAAGAAAACTTGGCATCATTCGTGCTCCAGCTGGCTCTTAACACATGGATTTCAGTTACCTACTGCTGCAAGACTGCAGATTGAACACAGACTGGTCTGGTGATATGGCAGGTCTTGAATCCAAGGGTCTCCAGTGCTTATTGACACATGTTCATGCACTTGAGACTGCACAGAGTCATGTCCTATGGGGTGTGGAGGTTCAAGTGTGGGTAAGATGTTTCTGAGGAAGGTGGGCACCTGGAGGAAGTCTGTAACTGCACCACTGGGGTCTGACAAAAGGTGTGCTGAACCTCCTGGGATGTGGAAAAGATTTGGAAAGTATGGACTTGGGGAGGTGGGAGTGCCAGGGAAAGGGGAGCACAGGGAGGCCAGAGCATGGGGAAGGGGAGGTCATGGCATGGGGAAAGGAATCCAAATAGGAGAAGTGTAAGGATGCAAGAGTCTGGCTCTGCATTTCATTGAGCTCTGTGGGTCAGCAGTTTGGCTACCCCAGAGCTGGAGTCCCATGTATAATACAATTAGTCAAGATAATATTGTTTTGATTAACTCTGTGTCCTACTATTTAATTATAAGTGAAGGGCCTGCCTACTGTGTTGTGCCAAGCAGCACTAGCACACAAGCCTGAAGTACTCTTATGAACTGAGTCTCTAATGAAATAAAGCCAATCAGGTAGCAAGGATGCTAATTCTTTTCCAGACATCACTCTGTTTCTATTTTCTTCAGAAAAACTGCTTCAAGAAGTAGATATTTAGACCCTTGCTCATTATCCTGCCTTCTAACTCATTCTTCAAATGTTCAAATTCTTATAAACTGTATATTGCCACAGCATCTGCAGCATCACCCATATATATGTGGGTGAGATCAGATTTATCTGGATTGACGGGAGCAGAGACAGTGTGCTTAACACAAACATCGGAACCATTTCAAGTGAAGTCTTAGTGAGGAGGTGGATTTTACAGGACTAGGAATGAGGAGGTTTCAGTGAAAGTGATGAGCGGATAATGGAAGTGAAGTTGCTTTCAGTGTCCAGTGTCATGTTGTCAAAGCAACTGAGAATGACTCAATGGCATTAAAGTGGATTGTGACAGTATGCACAAACGCAGGTTACCCAGTGGGACTCTTGCAGCACTTGCATCAGGATTGATCCAAAATGACAGCCAGGACAGAACAACAATTAGCAGTGTAGGAGCATAAACACCCATCATGTAAAATCCAACTTGTCTTCTTAAAGTGAAGATTACTTCTACACAAGTGTAATAACCTTTAAAGAAATAAATGCATTAATGTTTAACGTGATTTGCAGGTCAACCTCTTCTAATCCGTATCTTCCAGGCCTTTTTCTAAGTAAGTTAAGAGCTAAAGTTCAATAACTTGATTTTCTTTATAAAGGCAAAGAGTTCAGTTTGGAAAAAAACAATGTTCAAAACACCGTATAACACCTGTATAACCACCAAGTGTGGTGAGGCATATATTACTCTCTCTGCTCTGTAAGGCACCCTCTGTAATATGCAGTTAAAGGGACCCTCATCTTGATGCTGGCTTCAAGATGCAGTCCAGATAAAACAAATGGGGTCTGGCAGTCATACTAGCTTAAGCTCATCTGAAAAGCCTACTTAGCATTAACTTGTGCAAAAGATGGAATTAAGAAATATTAGTGTAGAATGTTCAGAATGGACAGAGGTAATCTGAATGTGACTCTAAGCAGATACTCCCCCAGTACTGAAAGCTGCTACAGGAGACTTCTAAAATTGGTACAGTCTTTCAAAAAAGACTCTAAAAACACTGTAAATTTTGAAAAAAAGGAATACTGCCTCAAATCTTTTAAAATAAGAATTTAAAGCACACAAACATTTCACAAGATATCTGTTAAGATGAATTCAATAAAAAAATAAAGCTGCGGACAATAGAGGTTTTGCTGGAGGTAACAGATGGATCAGGAAGTTTGATAACCAGAAAACAAATTCTGTTCGTATTTTCATCCAATTAGCAGAACTGGCATTGCAAAAAACAACATCATAAACTATTCTATCACAAGGAAAAGACATTCCTGTGTTATATTACAACAACTTCAAAATTCAGATTAGTCTAAATCTACCAATAAAGTTGGTGCAAAGCTGATTTAGAAGATAGAATCTGTCAAAAATGTATCTATTTATCTCCGAAATTTTATCGATTAGGTGCCATAAAGTGATAAGTCAGCTTAAAAGTGCTGTTTGGGCAGACAATAACCAAAATAACAAAATTAAGGAAACATTTCCTTGTGTAAAAGGCTATACTAAATGGTATTCTATAGTTCATTCTATTCTATTCAATGATCTTTTGTCTGATAAATTTCCCCTCTATAATTTCTGAATAGTTTCCAGAAACTTTTAGGTTTTATTTTCAAACGAGGGATGACCTTCAAAATCATTATGTTTACTTTAGACCAGAATGCATTTCTGGTCTGATCATTCATCAGGCAGAGAACAGTATCTATTGCCCTTACCATTCAGCTTACAAGGACCTATTTGCTTCTGTTATACATATTGATAAGCAAAGATTAGGCAATTTGCAAATTTAAATATTCAACTTTTTGCCACAAAAAGTCTCCCCAAATTTGTTGACCCTCTTTCTGCTTAGGTAAGTATGGTAAAACGTCAGTTGACGTGAATAGGCAGTAAAGATTAAGTGCTTTTCAACTGGCAGGAATCTCCTCCATAAGCCATAATTTTGAAAATTTGCCTTTTGATTACCTGGCACAATCCTTAACTGAATTAATTTTAACTATGTGTGCACAACCTGCTTTTTAAAATACCTTCAATATAAGAATTTACAGTAAATGAAACAACTGCTGACTACTGAAAAAACCCTCTCTAAAAATACTTCATAGTACTAAAATATTCCATCCACATTAATGAAGTATTAATCCCAGTCTTGATTATGAGATTAACATGGGTGTTCTTAATTTTTAAACAAAAAAGGATTTGCAATAAAAGAATTAAGAAAACATTTTAAAATTTCATGTTATTACTCCACCCACTCTGATGGTTCTTGCATGTTCCTCCTTTAATGTTCAAATCACATTCACACACACAAAATGTGACCATTTTACTGAGCACAGCATCGTTTCAACTTGTGGTCACAAGGTGCTTAAACTTGAGAGAACACTACTGATTTTCTTTCCTGTTTAATAGTAAAGTGTACAATTATTTTCCTTAAGGCTTCTAAAATGCCTAAAATATCTTAAGATTTTAATTTTAGACTTAGGGTAAAACACAAAATGATAATGAAAACTTCAGTAACAAGAAACAATTCTGAGTAAGTATATTGTTTTTCCCCTCAAATAGAGGGGAAAAGTAAGTTTTCTAACTTTCTTATTTGTATGAATTTTATTTGGGAACTGAAAGATTCATTCCTTTAATTTTTCACTATTTTATAGACTATTTCTTTCAGTGAATTAATTGTTTAATTAAGAATAAAGTATTTCTTACTGCTAAACAAGCTTCTGAAATATCCTAATCTGGATTTGAATGCAATCACTGCCAGTTGTTGGTTGTGTTTTCACAAATGCAGAATTTTCCTAATAAGAGAAAATTTCTTACTATTTACAAATGGTGAACCACTCGACATGCTGAACTACAGAGTTAGGCTAAGAACTCACTCATTTTTCAGTTAAAAAACAAACCCCATTTCAGTTTTCATTATCATTTTCAAGTTAAAACCCTTCACTCTGAGATCTGCTAAGGTTACTTGAGTTCTCTTCAGACATGGGGTCTAGTTTAGGAACAACTGCAAGTAACAGACCCTCAACTTCAGCTGAATAGTCAACAAGAAACTTGGAGAGGATCCTCAGAAGACGGAGCACCACAGCTATCTTCGTTGAGTTTTAATGGAAGATTTATTCATATGATACAAAAGCACTGACTAAAATATACCCTGGTGATTTCTGCTGTTGTAGAAAGTCTTGCGGTTGCCACAATATATCAGTAGTTTGAATATAATTATAGGCAGGAATCAGTCAAAGTAGAAAAGAAAAAGGGTATTTTTTGAGATATTTTTTATTTTGAAATTAATGAAATAATTTTTATTATGAGATTTAATAATGAGATAATTTTTATCTCATTAAAACCCAGACTACAGAAACCATTGGATAAATTTGTGCCCACACTCAGAAAATAATCATAGGATTAAATTAATACAGGGCTGAGGATTGTAAGCAGCTTTCTATAATGACAGACTTTTCACAACACTTAAGAGAAAGGAAAAACCTGCAGGGTGAAGCATTTAAGTTATACTTTAACACTATCCACTTCTGTAATAGAAGTTGAACTAGAAAACCGAAATTATCCTACTTTGCTGCAACTGGCATAATTCAATGTGAATATCCTGTCAGAAAAGTTAGATACTTAAAGCACAAACAGGTATTGGGACTATAGAAACAACTTGGTGATAGTAAGAACACAAGACATGTAAACAAAACCAAGACAAACATTTAATCTCATGTTCAACCTAGCTGTTTCTATATTTTAATTAGTTTGCAGTAATCACATCTGATAGGTACTATTCTGTGAAGTACTTGCTAGTTAATCTATTTTATCCCATGAAATATAAGACATGAACTGGAATATTAACCATTAACTATAAGCAGTAATTGAAAGAAGCTTCAAGTTTATCAAAGAAATTTTTATTACCTACCTGTGCCTTTATAATACTTGGTACAGTTACCATATTCGATATCCTCCTTTTTAATATCAAACTGAGGCAGAGCAATTTTCTCTAGCTGTACAGGATCTCCAGACTGCCAGATAAACCGTAGGTCATCAGTTGTATAACCAACTAAAAGAGCAAAATAATAGTCATTTAAGGAACCATCTCAGTCAGAGTAAACTCCGCAAGGAAATACAGCATAAAAGCATTGTATTTCTTTCACTCTTTTACTTTCCTATTCAAAGAATTAAATACAAAAATGAAACAATCATCTACCGGGCTTTTCATGTAGACCTAAATTAGGACTTGGTGGGTGGAACATTATGTTATCAGCAATATTACAGTGATTAAGAGGTGTTTGTTACAGTGCTGTTTAACCACAGGAAGCAAAGCTCTATTCTCCTCAGCTTTGAAGCCTCCCTGTTCATTCAAACTCTACTTCAGCAAAGCATGAAAAATACACTGAACTTTAACATCACTCACAAGTCCTAGTAACTTCAAAAGAATTTAACAACTCAATTACTGTGATGAATCTTTTTCTGTGTGTCAAACAACCTTTCTGCTTAGTTGTTGAGATTAAAGGCGCTGGTTCATGAAAGCTTTGCCATTCAGGAAATACTTGACCAGGAGTTTAAGTAGACGCGTAGTCCCACTGAAATCAATTCAGTGCCTTCATCATCTCCTGAGTATGGACAGACTTCTGCATACATCTGAGTGTCTAAATCATGATATATACAACACTACCAAGTGAAAGGCAGTGAAAGTTAGGCTCACGGTATTCAAACATAAAGCGATATTTACTAAATATGGATAAAATAATAATGTATTTTTACATGTATTTTTTTCTGCTACCTTCTGTTTATTAAGGATTAAACTAATTCAAACAGACATAATGTGTCTTAAATGGAAACAAATATGGGGAAACATGAAGAAGATGGAGTTGGAATGCAGCATCTTGCATTTGAGTCTTTAAAAAAAAGTTTAAAGAACCATTCTTTTCCTGGAGGCATTAGACAGTTGGGGTTTTTTAATCTTTGAAAAACAGCTGTGATGAAAAAAGGTGAAATGTTCATAAGCTTCTCTAAGATTCAGAAAAACTTAATAAAAATCACAATGTTGCAAAGCTCCATGATGGAAGATAATATAAAAAAATATAATTCGTCATTTTAATTCTTCATCCATAAAGTCAGATGGGTCTAACACTGTGGAATTGGTCCATGGTGGACCACCCCGATCATCTAGAGTGAGTGTGCATGGCAAAGAGCCAACAAGGCCACTCCTCCTGGCGCAGGCTGGCCCCCTGCGTTGGGATGAGTTGGCACTTTTTGGCATATAAAAGGCCCAGAGTTTGAGAGAGATTGAGAAGGAGGCAGATCTACCTACCTCTTTTTTTTTGGTTGACATTACCTCCATGGGGATGCCCGCAAGAGTAGTGCCTGCCACCCTGTTTCTTCACAATGCACCCCTGAGCTGGCCTCTTGGTCATTGAACAAATGTGCGGGTTGGTAAGAATCTATGCCTAGCCTATTTTTGGTAGCCTTTAGTTATCTCTCTTTCTAGCTTGGTATATCTCTGGATTTTACACCTATTTTAGATCTTGTAATAAACATTCTAGCAGTTTGGTGGGAGTGTGTGTGTGGCTTATGTTCCTTCTCCACCTGGAATCCTTCAATCCCTGGCACACCCCCTTACAACATACATCAAATCACAAGACTGCCAAGATCTTTTACGATAACAATTACTGGACAGTGAAAATTTTGTCTATATGGAATGCGTAGAACTGGGGATCATAACTGCAGGTACGAGAAAAGCCTAGTAAAAGCTGGTGGTGGCCTTTTTTGTTTTGAAAATCTAACAACTAGAAACAAAATATTGATTTGAAAATAAGTAAAATAAAACTGTCAATGTCTAACAGGCAAAGCACTGTTGGAACTGGAGGGTTGTCAAATTTGACAAAATTCTTACTTTTGACAACTGAATTAAAAGGTAGAAGAAAGTTTAGTGCACACTGTGTTTCTAAAGGAAGAAATTCCTCCTGAATTTGAATATATCAATTTAGCATGGAGACAGACAGTAAAGTTGTTTAAATAAAGTTATCGAGAATTTTTTTATGTGTAATTCTTCCATTAGTATTACATCTAATTCCAGTTTAACCCCAAACTCATTTGTGTTTACCATAAGAGTTTACTTCAGCTAATGTATATACATATTAGTGATGGGCTAAACTACTACAGACATACAATTCTAAAGGTAAATGCTGGCAATCAAAACCTAAACTGTAAAGCTCTGATATCATTATTATTACCCTTGTTCCTACTGGGATGCCCTTCTCAGCTTTGATTAAACTTCCTCTTTCTTCACATACGTCTTTCCCTCCCTAGCCTCCCCTTCCCCATCAGAATTGGTGGATTAACAACTCAAAAAAGTTTTTGTATTATAGTAGGAACAGGCTGGAGCAAGCCCCCTTCCTTCTTTCTGCTTCACATTTGTCTTTACTCAGGAAAACAGAATTACCATGAAAGTGAGATCATCATTTCCACATTTTGGCTGCAACTTCCAGCATGGCATGAAGCCCTTCACAGATGAGACCTGGCTGCCCCTTCATAAGATCAAATCACCTGGAGACCAGATTAGTAAAGGAGAGATATCTGACTACATCTACAACATATCTTGAAACTACTTTCAAAAGGTTTCATACTAAGTGCTCTGAATGCATTGGCATCAAATACTTTTCCTTCAGTACCATATCAAAAGAGTTTCAAACAATACCATGCGTCCTCAATGCAAGGGGATAAATTGGTCCCCAACAACCTACATAGCAGCACAGGTTGTGAAAGTTAAAACTACTTGGGAAACCATGGATTCTTTTTTCCAAATGATGTGTGTTTCCATTTTACAAAGTTTATTGTAAAAGTTTCTATAAAACTCATCAGTTGTCATTATGTTTGATAGAAAAAGCTAGAAACAGAGTGCGTGGTGCCATAACCGTAAGAAACTTTTTTGATAGGGAAATGTATGTTGGTAGGAACCAGTGAAGATTATTTTCAAGATTCATTAATGTTGACATGAACAATACAGAATTGATAATTTTTTTGTTTGATTCTCAGACATGCTTAGTAGGCAACTGTTTTTATGCACAGATTGATTTACTTACAGCTTTCCAATTGCATCTTGCAGCGCTGTGTATCCATAGGAAACAAGGTCAAGTCCAAAGGGCATGACAGAGTAATAGACAATCTGAAAATACAGAGACAGAATTTAAAAACAGTGTGAGCTGTCATGTAGACAGTAGGTGGCAGATTTTTTTCCCTCTGATAAGCTGCTCTGCTTCCAGTTGCTTTCTGGAATCCCTGTATACTTCAATCATGCACCGCATCCTGCAGCAAGGCCTGCCATAGCTAAACTGCACACACTCTATAATCTTTTATCTATATTCTATTAGTATTCACTCAATATTCACTATTCTCTGACCTAACCTGTTGATTGAAATAAGCTCATTTTTTAATAGCTATGACATGGAAAAATATTTGAAAAAAGTTTCAATGTTTCATTTAAACTTTGCTATTTAAAATGGGAAGTTTTTTCTACAGCTGAATATGACTTTGTATTTTGAAATACTAATTCCTACAGACTTCAAAACCTGCTACATAAACAACTGAAATCAGAACCAGGACCTTCAGAGTGAGCCAAATGAAATGCTTTGATTGCCCAATATATTTTCTTTTCTGATCACTGTGGACAAAACTCTTGAGATTGAGTTTTTGCATCCTGATTTGAAATGGACAAAAAAGAACCCAGACTCTCCCATCTTCTTCTGTTTTTTCTAGCCACTTCTGCTCCAGGAAGAAACAGCTCATGCGACCATAATTTCAGGAATCATTCCATCTTAACCATAAAATTGCAGTATATTTGGGTAATCATTTTTTCTCTATCAAGAAAATATATTTCAGTTCACACCAGGAAATTCATTCACTGTTAGGAAACTGAGCCTAACCTCTACAAATCATTATGTCTATAAACTCTCCAAATCTGTAATTCACTGTGGGATACTTTTTAATCAACCAATTTGCTAATTTCAGTGGATGATTATTTTTATGGCATGTTGTATACCTTTGATAAGCCAGATCAAACCACAAAAAGTATGTGTTAATTGCAATGAAATTAAATAATGGTTTTGGGCCTTCTAAAAAAAAATCTGTATCAAGTAAGGCATAGAACTTGATCAAAATTATGTCCCAGTATTTTACAAAACATATTCAGAAATACTGTAATTTCTGCCTTTCCCTATATAATTAGTAAGTAACCACCATTTTCTTTAGTTGATGTAGAAATTCAAGTTCAAGTGATATGCAAATCATATTATTTTGCTGAAGGCTTTACTTCAGATATCCCATATACATTTCAAATTTCTAATACCTGCTATGCTATCAACTGACATGCTTTAAAATATCCTCACCTGATTTCTTTACATACATTTAATTTATTGTAGTGTTGTTTACAATCTGTCATATAAGATGAAATATTAGTCATAAACTGCATTACATTACTAACTCTAATGTGGAATATGTATCTGATATCAATTAACTTAAAAGAAGCATAGAAATAGGTCAGTAAAATACCTCATGCTGACTAGGACATCTCCATCCCGAAATATAAAAAGAAGGATATTTTCTTGTGTGACATCATGGAAGTTAGCATTCTTTTCATTTGCAAAGAATAAGTCTGGCTTCCAAAGACATTTAAACATAGTTGGGTCCACTGTCAGTGTATCTGACCCTCTCCAATCATTGGGCAGTTTGAGTCTAGGGTCATTCCACTTCTGTCTTAAAAAGATGTTGACTCTATAATCCTGATGGGAAGAATAAATAAATATTAGACTAGCCAAAAGTCTAGCCAAAAACCCATGGAGAAAGCAAACCATTCTATTGGGCTCTGAAGAGAAAAACAATTTATGCCCTGATTTTTTCTATCACAAAGATAGTAATCACTGTTCAAACAACATTAATAAGTGTTAAGTTTAATACATTTTACTACAAATAGGTAGATTATGTCTCACTCATGTTTTGAATATCATCATTTTCTTTTCAAAAAGGACCAAATTGCCCACCCTGAATCATTTTTGCATCCCTTCAATAGCAGATCGTTGTTACCTAGGCATACAGAAAAAGCATGCAGCTGGGCAGAGGGAGGCCATAGCTTGACTATACTAAACTGCTGCAGGCAATAGGCACAATACCACTTCTGTAAAGATATCCTGTGAGTGTAAATTCCAGCTTATTCTCCATTTGGTTAAGTGGCACACTGATGGCAAAATATTACATTATAAAAGCAGAAAACAGAACACGTAGATAACAGATTTTATGCTACACACCCAGAATACAGCCTCAGATTTTGTAACAGTGAGTTGGGACTATACTGGTAACTGAGGAAAACTGGTACCAGCTTGCAACACAAGTACTGAGGCAGCATATATGAAAGTAGAAAAAGAATAGGTCTTAAACACAGACAAAATCAAGGCTTCACACAGAGAAAACTTCCTTCTGGATTCTGCAGGACTCTTCTCAAGGATGGACAGTAGCAGAGCCATGCTCAATGAGAACCTGATTTTGCCTTTGGGAATTGAAGTAGCGTGTTGTCTCAGGGCAAAAAGATACCCGCACGTGTTCTATTCTTAGTGAAAGCTGTGTGCATCCAAAGAAAAAATCTGACCCAATATGTCAGTTATGATTTCTTTTTTATCAGTCTTACTTCGTACTCATTTTGTTTTTTATGTTTACATTTAAGCCAGTGCTTCTTTTTAATGTATGTGTGAACAAGGCAGATCACATACAGAAAAGGAATAAAGGTATTGATGAAATAAAGAAAGAAAAGTCCTACAAATAAATCAAAAAGATAACTTCTATTTGCAGTCTTCCTAGTTGTATTCTATGGTGTGGTCCGTTTTCTCAGAACTGTTAGGTACAAAGCATCCAGAGATAAGGGCTGTGTCCTTTAGAGCAGTGAAAACATTGCTACTACTTTACATTTACAGCAAAATGTTAGAAATCTGTGAGCGAAGGTTCTCAACATATTTTTGGTTTGTCAACGGATTCTGCATACGAAGATAATTTTATAAAGTTGTTTATTTTACATGTTAATGACCTCTTACACATTTTTCTGTTGATACAATGTGAGTTCTCATCTGCTGTACTTACTATAATGTACATGCTTACAATTCAACGCAAGTGCCATGTTGAGACAGGCACGCTAACTTCAACAGGAAGTTCACTTGTCTAAGACCTCATGCAGAATAAATTGCCCTGATGATTTGCCCTGTTACTCAGAATACAGTGTCCACTTTCCCATGTCCAGTCCACCAGTCAGATCAGCCCAGGTATTTCTTTATTACACTATACTGTATTTTTCCTTATTGTATTGTAAGGAAAAGCAAAGCATCAAAACCAAGTAGAAAGAACTTAGGCAATATTTATTAATACGTATGGTTCTTAGAGATACATTACTTATTGGCAGTCTGGTTTTGAAAAAATATATGTAGTCTGACTCTTATTTATACAAAGACCTATATTATCTTGTCAAAGTAAAGATGAAGCATAAAACAATAGTTACCATGAAGTGACTTTGTACTGGAAGTCTCTCACAGCAAAGCTCCAGAACAGGAGGGAATTCAGGTAATTATATCAGAAAGCATATTTTCAGTTATATGTATATAATTGAAAATACTTTTTTTGCTTCTTGCTGAAATTCCCATTCCATGCGCACTTCTTGTCTCAGTGAAAACAATTACTTTAAACCATATGAGATAAATACTGCATACTGTGTGTGCACACAAGCATTACTATTCATCACACCAAAATTAATTTCCCCCTAAACAAGTGCATTACCCTGATTTTAACAAAATAAGATGCCTTCTCAAAGCCATAGGCAAATGATAAGCAGTGTCCAACACTTGCCTTCAGCTTACCCATTCAGATGAAGGAGATGTTTACATCACTGAAAAGCAGAATGCACTGGCAAAATAAGAATTGGAAGTAAGATCGGGTGGATGCGGGTTTATTTTCTTCCTTGCTCTATTACAAATGAACTTAAATATACCAAACAATGGGATGTTGTAACATTTTAAGAACTTGATTTTGTTCCAACTTAAGTCAATAGAAGAAAAATCCCCTTAACCTTAAATAGGTAGGTTCAGACCTACCACATACCTGAGGCAACACAGAAAATATAGAAGGAAGTAAAGAGATGTCAGGGTACAAAACTCTGGCTAGCCAAAGATGTGCAGAAGGGCTTCTTGGAAGAATATGAACTAGTACAGCACCTGGTAGCAGTATAGGCTAGTATCTGGTATAAATCTATTTTAAAAGATGCCTGCAACCAGTTCTCTCAAATTTGGGCAACGAATTTTAAGATTCAGTATGTGTACTATAATTCGGTTCAACAGGGGCTGAAGAAGTGATCTGAATGAAGCATATGGTCTTCTTCCTATACATTTTACAAACATCCATTGAATATTGCAGAATAATCAGTGTTTTATAATAAAGGTCAAATAGCAACCAAAAAGCCTGAAACTAGGCGTGGGGAATGAAAGAGATACTCATTAGCATCATTGCTAGGAGGACCTGGCAGGTAAAAAGAATGAGAGAAGTATTCTACAGGGCGTTGTTTTCCCATTAAACTCCAACAGAAGGCAAGTTGTTTTCAGGGAGGTTGAAAGGTGAGGCATTCTAGGAAATATTTCAAATTCAACCTACTAAACAGTGGACATGTGGCCAGAAAAGCTCCTCAGGCCAGAAACCGGGCATAGCCAATAGATCTCTCTCTGCAAACTGGAGCACATAGAAGATGATGAAAGGCTTTTTCTACATGAACTGCACTCGTACAAAGGAAGGAAGCATAATAGTACTGTCTTTAAATAAAGTAGAAAATGGCATTTTTAAGAAAAAAGGAAAACGAATTTTCCTTTATATACATAAATATTAAAAAGACCCTTCTGCAAGGTTTTAAATTAAAGGAGAAGGAGGAAGTGGTCTTTTGCCATTTGAGTCAGTGACAAAAGGTTACACTGAATGCACAAACTTGAATATAGATTCTGTAGACAGAGGGTCAGATCATCAACACAGCTAAAATACTATAGCCCTGTGGGTATTTATCCCAGAAAGGAATTATCCCCAGGAATCTTATACTAGCCATGCAGAATATAACAGTTTCTAAATGTGACATAATCACCATACTATCCCACAAATCTCAGTCTAAAAAAACATGCTAAATCAGAAGCAGAGGATCCTAGACAAGCAGTCTAATGAGCTAGAAGGAAAAAAGTCAAGATAAAGGGAGCTTACTGGAAGGTAGCAGCTCTGGTATAAGCTCTTCTCCATTTTAGCTGTACAAATCCTTATTTTCTCTGTAGTTAACTCATTTTTGTTTAGTTTTTCCAGGTAACTTGTTTGATAGGTGTGTGAAAACTTCTCTATACTCTCAAGTATTCAATGACACAACATGAACACTACCATTTCTAGACACAGAGCAAATATATGCCCTTCAGTTTCTTCACAACATTTTGATTAAAGCAATATAGGCTTCTGGGCATAGGATCTACACTACAGGTCCTATCTTGCTTCAAACCAATATTATTTCAAACCTATCAATACTTTTCTACAAAGAAATTCCTTTCTCTCCTAAAAACTAAGTAAGTCCTTCCTCGGTGGGAGGTAATCTCTACTCTTTTTTGTTGAGGATAAGCCAACTGCATAGCTAAGAATGCAATCAGCATGGGGCCAGAAGCACAGCAAGCAAAAAACATAACTGAAAATAATTTTTTGGGATTCCTGAAATATGTGAGGAACCATCAGAACCAGCCACTGTGATTCAAAGCAAGGGACACTGTGGGAGCCTGCTGACTAGTTAGAAGTTCCAGACATTAAGCCCACAGAGGGGTTTAAGAGTGGGGTAAAGGACATCTTGTTGAAGATACCTTCTTCTGCATCTCTCTTAACACCCTTCTGAGCAACAAGAAATCAGAATGCTGAGTGGCCTTTTCTCACTGGCACTCTACACATTTGTTTGTTGGACCTTCTACAACCACCTCACTTCCAATCACCTGGAACCGATGGGTATTTTTTCCCCACCCTTCCATCACCCAAAAGAAGGAATCATCCCTTTAGCATGGCTAAAACAGGATGCTCTACTCCCACCTAGATTTTTTTGAAAATGTATGAAATCAGCTATTACAGCCAGAAGAGGCTACGGAGCCAAGAATCATCACGATACTGCATCAACAGAAATACTTGGAAATATATGATTTCACAAATTTTGGTATCAGTAATGATATAACTCCAACCAGTTTAGTAGCTTCTGGTACCTTTAGAGACCGTCAAGGACTCAATATTCCTCATGATTCACACCAGCACTGGAGACAGTCCCTCTTTTCTCCAACACTGATGAACCTTTTCCAGTAGTTCTGTTACTACCTGCAAACGTCTCTCCTTTCTGAATGCAAGAGGCCCTGCTGGTCCTTCACAGTTATGGTGCCTTAGCTCTAAAAACCACTTTCCCATGATTCTGGAAGTACAAGATTTCTGTAGTCTAAGAGACTTGCTTCCACTCTCTGGTGCATTAGTCAGACAACCTGATGGCAAGTACCAGCCTATCCCCAAGACAGCAGTGGTTCCTGAATGTCCACAGGACCCAATACCTGCTCCGGCAGGCAGGGTTTCCCAAGTAACATAAGGAAGAACAGATAGATCATTTCTTTTGTCAGCGTTTCCCGTCATACACTGAGGCAGCCAAGAAGTAATCCAAACTTCACATAAACATGCTTAGCTATCATGGTGATCAGCTGGATGTAGAAATCGAAATAAAAGGATAAATTAAAGTAAGGATGCTGTCTGAAGTTCTGAAATATGGAGGAAAGCATGATTTCTCTTACAGAACATGCTAGTAAACTTGTGAGAGACCATATCAGGAATTCACAGACAGGCATGCATACATTGCTGTAGAGAGCATACCTAATTTTGAGGGGGGGAAGCACACCCCTTACATTCATGTTTTGTTACTGTTTGGATCTGGGTGAATTGTAAAAAAGCCTCTGTAAAAGTCACTTTTTAAAACATGCAATAAATTTCAGAAACTTGAAAGGGCCATCTGGCCTAATATACCTGCCATCTTAGACACTTATCTCACTCCTACTTTCCTGCTCTTCCTCCCTGCCCCTCTTTAAACTTCCGTCCCCTTTTAGTTTTCAGAAGTGAATCTCAGGGCATCTTCAGCATACTTACATTCTTTGTTTTCATATCACTTCTCACTAATGCCATTAGTTGACTTACTATCATTTGCAATCACATCTAAATCTTTATTAATTCCTAGTTAAGGAAATGGAAATTCCTGGCCAAGCAGTTCAAAAGCTGTTTCAACCATCATGTATGTTTAACTTTGAGCAGCTTCACAGTTCTACTAACATGTCGTATAGGGTATCATAAGCTGGTTCTGAATTTTAAGTGGGTACTTACTTCCACCAGCAACAAAAGGTGTTTTATTAGTTATTAACTGTATTGTGGTTTATTGCTTCTGTGACATTATGAGTAGGAATGCTACCTTATTTACAGCATTTAAAAAAGCAGCTTGATTTTGAGAACTGCCTCAATGCTTTGGATACAGCAGATCACCAAAGTTATTTCTAAATGGGATGCTGAGGGAGCACCTCAGAACTCCCACTCTGAGTGCATGTCCTGGCTGTGGCTTCCCACGTGCTGGCAAGACATGGTGTACTCCCTTCTGTTCTACACAAAAGAAAAGCCCTGATCAGGTCAGAACATCTTCAACAATCAAATGCAACTTTTTGGGCAATATTTTTTACCGTGTTTATTGGAAATACCATTGCAAAGAAGATCTTCAAATCCCAAAATATTGAGCAGGGTTTGCTGAAACGATTTCTAATTTTGAAATTTTGTTTCCTAAGAAAAAAAAATAGTCAAAACTATAATGAGGATTATTTGGTGCTGTTACTGATATGCTGAAATTTTCTGGCTGAACTGAAAACACATTTTTAGAATCTTCACTCCTTGGTTTCTCTCTCTCTCACAGTAAATAAATGGAAGTAAGAGTATGGTCATTGACGGTCTACTCCTTTACTCCTCATCCTTCTGTTCCTCCATGATTTACTTCTACCCTCAGATCTACATAAAACAGAGAACTTGTATGCTTCAGCCTTATGCATGCACCTTCTTTTTCTTTCATACACAGTCTCATTATTTTCTTTAGTAATACACCAAGCAACCTATATATTAACTGTCAGGAAGATTACTTAATTCATACTACCAAACGTGTTCTCCCCCTGAACTTAATAACTTATGGAAATAAGTGTATTTCTTGCATCTTAGAAACCTTGCATGTCCTTTCATGTACATAAGATCCTAAAAGAAAAGCCGTAACAATCTGTGGACAAATATAGAGTGAAATAGATTAATAGGTTTATGGCATAAAGCACAGTCAGTCTATCACTAACCCCATTAAGTCAGTTCTCAGGGTCTAAAATCATAACAATCATTTCTACTTTACAGTTCATAATCCTCAGTCTGAAATTTAATTTAATGAGAAAATCTCCATGTGTGCTATAATAATTTAATTTCAGTCTTACCATAGTTGTCTCTTGAATTGACCCAAAGCTGTTAATGAAGATGTTGACTGCAACATCGACTGGAATTCCTTTAAAAAAAAAAAAAAAAAAAGAAAGAAAGAAAAAAAAAAAAGATTTCTAGTGAACTAGTCCAGTAAAGGTATGTTATCCTTCATTTAAAGCTCCTTTATACTGATATCACAATGTGAAATGTAATTTTTATAGGGCCATACAACTTTATCTTTTCAAGTTAGTATATACACAGTTTTCAAAAGCTGTGGTTTAATCTATTTCCATTGAAAGCCAATAGAAATCACAGAAACTCTTTTCAACCTAGTGATAAGAAAACAAAAAAAAAAAATGTCCTTAGTCCACAGTGCTAAGATTAAAGCATTTCACAGGTCATAAATCTGAGTAATTTTGAATTCCACGATTTTCTGTTACCACAGAATGCACAATCCACTATTACTTTTGCACACAGTGTAATAGACAGAGGCAATTCCCATTTCTAGCAGCAGACACTTACAAGTGTCAAGGACATAATGATGATCTAACATCCCAAATTACCTGTTTATGATTTATGATGAGACATTTACCTATATGGTAAGAGGCTACTTCTTTGTGCAAGACAAGTACCTAACTGTGAAGTATGAATACAGAGAGATAAAAATTGTTTCATTCAGCTTTCACAGCTATCTAGCCTTGGTGCAAGAGAGCTGGAAAGCTGCTCCATTTTACAATGGTTACCAATTTGCCAAGAAAAATTCTAGAAACTAGCAGCTGTGAGGATACTAAGATGGCCTGGATTTTTTCCTCTTTTCCACAGCCAGGGCTCCTGTAGTTGAAGAGGGATGGTGTGACAGCTGCTACATCTGCCCTCCATCACCCTGAGGGAACTGACCGGCAGTCATTTAATCTGGTGTTAACAGAGCATTATCACGAAGCAAGAAGAAGTGGCCTGATGGTTGTGAGAACTAATTATGGCCCACTAGTTTTATTTCGCACCTATATGTTGAGTGTCACTCTGTGCACTAGATGCATGTATCTGATTTCATTTACACTGTTGCAAATACCTAATTCAGTGGGTTTCTTCCTAAATTCAGCAACAAAAGAGACATAAGAATATATGAAGACTATTTTGACAGAGTAAGCAAATACAGTACAAAGCAATATATGCCTCATCTAATTGTTTGCTTGTCTGCATAAAATATTTTGGTGTACATTAAATACGTAAATTCAAATTGGTTCTCTTTGTTCACCAGAAGATCACTAACATAAAATATCACTTTTTTCAGTTAAACCAGTTTGTTGGTGTTTTTTTCTTTTAAATCAGACCAATTAAGTGTGGTGCTTTTGATTATGCAATAAACATAATACTTCATTTATTGCCTGATGTGTTTAACAGAGCACCCACCACATCACTAGTAGCCAAGAGTGTATTATCTTTTCCAGATTTGAATAGGAAGTGCTCACCAAGAAAATCAGCCATGTGTGAGGAACATTTTAACACGAGCAAACCACTGGTCAGAAAATGTTCTTTTCCTTCCACTTCCCTGTGAATTAACATTGAATGTCCTTCCTTTTCCTTCTGTCTTGATTCCTACAGACTGCCAGCAGGGTTATCAAAAATATAAGGAAATCTGCATCATGCTTTGCAATTACAAGCTGATCATGCTGAAGAACAGGTAGAGCAAAGGCTGGATGTTTATTCTTTGTGACAAGGCTCAGTGCTGAAAACATAAATGATTCTACAGAGAATAAGAAAGAAGACACTTGCTGGGAACTGAGTCTAATACATTTAGAAAACTTAGTTAAACAGAACATCTGAAAATGCTCTCTTCAGAAGCACAGTAAAGATTATGGATTACCAAATGTCCCATACTATTGATATGCATGTTAAAATATCTCTTAATGCACACATAATTAAATGGAAGTTTTAAACCGAAAGGACTGATTTATGTAAACTGCAGTGTCTGTAATGTAATAAGATGGTCTGTGTCTTTTTCCATCAGGGAAATAATCTAATTCCTGGAAAGTGAAACTTACAGCTGTAGGAGTTACCAGAGGTTTTGCAGGGAATATGTATTCCAACCTTTTCTGCTATGTAAGGAAATCACATTTTCCTACACAGAAGATTCCTGCAACATCTGACTACCAGGGAGATGTTTTAAAGGCAAAGAATATGTTTAAATTCATTACCTATTTGAAATCCCAAAGTGTGTAACCTGTATTACTAACATAGCTTTAAAGGATTTAGTAACTGTATGGTTTCCAAATAGTGATACTGCTGATCCTCATTTTTATAAAGCCATCTTAAAGAATGTCTATAGAGAATTTTGATCATATTTTTACAGTTTTGAAATACTACTAAAGTCCAACTAAAATATAGCGATAAAAAGACATTTTAAAAACTTATTCTATGGAACCTAATTATAATTTTAAAAAGTCTTTCATAAAACATTAACAATAGTATTAGTAATGATAAAGAATCATGTTCTATTACGATCATGAAATCCTAACACATTACCTTTCAGCTCATAGGGTAAATATCTTCTGCAGTTTCACACTATCATCTAGGGAAATTTCCATTAAAAAGAAAAAAAAGCAAACCAAACAAAACCTACCAACCAAACAGAAATTTAGGTTGTGAATATTATCACTATATAAATTTTTGATGTGTGAAAAGAGCAAAAGTTAAATTCCAAAGATTAAAACAAATGCTAAAATATCTGACTAACCTTTGAAATTAGGCCTTATCCTGGGATCATAACTGAGCAATAGCCTATTCAAGATATTGCTGGTAGAATTAGCAGGTACTCTTGCAAGGTCTTCAGCTGATTGCTGGCTGTAAAAAAAAGTGCATTAGTTACTGTTAAGACAGAAACAACTGTGTGCTTAAATTTAAGTCATTTAGAAGTCATGCCATAAATGGCATTTCACGAGCAAAATATGTTCAGTATTTTCAGGTTCCACACTGTGCAGTCTTCCTTCCCCTGTGACAAGAAACTGGAACAAACATGAATGCTCTCCTATATACTGTTAACTGCAAACTTGTAAGTAAATAAACCAGAATTCACTAATTGTTCCCTTCCCTCCTAATGTAAGCATCCAGAGGAACATGATTTCTTCATCAGTAGAAAGCAGCCACCTGAACTATTTTTAGTGACTGTCAGATTAGGGACATAAGTAAACTGACAGCCACTTTGTGGGTGCCAAGCCACACACAGGCTTTTGGCAGTCTTCTGCTCTCCCATGCCAGTGCCAGCTATTCCACTGAGAGCCGGAGCCATTGTAGAATCTCATTGTCAAGTGCTAATGAAAGCTTTGTCACAGAAAAGGCAGCCTTGGACTCCTCTGGTTTTGCAGGGGGAATTTAAACATCTCCATTTACCTTGCTGTTATTGTGCTGGGTGTTAAATTAAACCCATCACTAACATTGAAAGAACATTCGACAGGTAAATGTAGATATAGGAGTAACACAAAATTGAGTGTAATAAAAAGCAATAAGGATGCACCAGTACCCATCCCATGTACTTAAAGCACCTAGCAGGTGGATAATGTCATGTAAATGAATTTGTATGGTGTTTGTAAAACCTCCTCAGTGATGTTTTCCAATTTTGAATCCAGTCTTGTAATCACTTTTCCATCCATTTTACGTCTACTCTGCTGACTTTCTGTCATTATAATGTAGTAACCAAGATGCCACGTAAAAATAAGACAAACACCCTACAGAGACATGTCATATACATCAACACTATTACCTCTAGCAAACAAATTCATGAACATATTTTTAAAAATGATCTAGTTTATTTCCTAAATGTGTTCCATAATCAGTATCAGCTGCTGTTGCCTTCTTCATCCTGCTTAATTTCTTTTTTTTCATTGTTCTTTCCCCCATCAATGTCTGCTTGACAGACTTACAAGTTATTCTTTATAACATCTTGGTTCACTGCTAGTTTTCTTCCCATCCTTCAGTTTCCTTCATGTCCTCTGGGACTTCTGCATTATCTGAACATTAATTGAAGAAAATATTTACTCTACAAAAGGCTTTTGGAGTTTAAGAAGAATGTATGAATGTATCAGATTTCCTGATTTTAAGATGTCCAACTTATATTCCATGGGATAAAGCCCTAGAAGGCAGGGAGGGAATGCTGGTTGGTATTCAAGGATCACCTGTTCCAAGCTCAGGAGTGTTGTGTCCCGACAAGGAGATGGGGCAAGGAGGCCAGGAGGCTTCCATGGATGGATAAGGAGTTGCTGAGAAAACTTAGAAGGATAAAAGAAACTTATAGAAGGTGGAAGCGAGGACAGGCAGCCTGAGAAGAATACAGGGACATTGTCTGGGAAGCTACGGATCAGGTCTGGAAAGCTAAGACCAAGACAGAACTGAGTCTGACCAGGCATGTGAAAGATAACAGGAAGAGTTTCTATAGGCATGTTACAAACATAGATTATACGAAGTTCATTAAATAGTGATGATGGGAATCTGAACCACAAGGATAACATGGGCACATAAATTAAATACAGATGCTTGTAAAATGCAATGAGGAAAAGAGGAAAAAAGTCCGAGAAATTAAATGAGTGACCATCAAACATCAAAGAGAAAGCCAAACACAGCTGACAGGTTTATTTGTCTCATCAAGTAAGAGGAATAAAGAGGTAGTTTTGTGAGATCTGAGTTGCACTACAGGAGTATGTTAACATAAATATCTGTTCAGGCTGTTTGTTCAAAGGTCACCCGTGAATTAGGCAAAGGAGACTTACTGCACTGGGAAGACAGTGATGGGAAGAACACGTGGCAGCACTGCTTTCTGGTAAAGAACTTCATAATCATATCTTCTGCAAGTTGTTGGGTAGTGTTTTGAATTTATACAAGTGTAATGTGCACACATTTATCCTCATTTATATAAGAACAAAGTGAATTACAACAGCATTGTTAGGAGCTGGGAGAAGAAGCAGAGAGAATCAGTAAACGCTATTTTCTAAAGGTGACTTTGAAGCAGTCGGAACAGTTACTGGAAAAAAAAGCTCTGCTGAGTATCAGTTATAATTTTACTTTTACAGCATGCTGTTGTTGAACTACCACCATTGAATAGCACTCATGTGACTAAAACATCATCACAAGGACTGGATTTCCTTCAGAGAACCTTGCTGATCAAAATGCCTAAATTCCACCTGCAAATCAGTAAATCGTATGTGTTTCAGTGATTAAGAGGTTATGCCACTTTCAAAGTGATAGATGAGCAGAATGACTTAACAAAACAATGAACGGGATGACTTAGGTGCTTGGAGAAACAGGCTGGGACTATTTATGCTACTAAGACATTTATCTAAAGCCACTACTACCCCTGCTTAATTGACCATTCTGCAACGAATTAACAATAAGCAAAAGTGTAAACTACAGAAAAGAAAAATTATTTGAGCTGAGACCTCCCTTCCTTCAGTACTTCAATTTGCTGAAGTCTGTCTGATTCCCATATAACAACACTCACACCAACTGAGAAGTTAGTTACCACTTTTTCTTATTTAACCTACAGTTTTCACATTTGTGAAAAGCTGATAACTAGCATAAGATTTCACTTAGATTTCCACCACCTGCAGCATAAATTGTAATTTTAATACATTTATTTCAGTTTGTGTTAAATGTATGCAGAGCTGCTGGAAAGGATTAAGAAATGGAGATGTAGTAGCAGTCTTCACAGTAATTGATGAGTTCTAAGCAAGATACAGTGAATAACAAAAGGTATGGCAACAGAAGTCTCACGGGAAATTTAAAAGCAAGTAATTAACAATTGCCTTTATTGCCTTTTTCTCTGGGGAAAAAAACCCAAACAAACAACACCTCAAACAAAAGAAACCAAAAGAAAACAAACAGTATTCTCAAAAAAGTGTTCTCACTTCTACAAACAGTGTTCTCAAAAGCCAGAAATAAAACAAAGTACAGTTAGTCTTTTGGCATAACACCTCTGTGTGATATGACTGGCTTCTCTCCAGTCTTTGGGAGGTTACTTCTGGTATCACTGATCAATAAAAGAATTATTTTAAATACTCTGTTTCATAGGATATACAGTAAGATGCCCATTTCCTCTTCTATTGCAGCTCTACACATTTTATCACTGACTTTGACATGATTAGCATTCTCAGTTGATGGCAATGGATAATTGTTTTCATAATTCACTAATCAAAATCCAGAAGTTTAGATAAGCAGATATGCAAGGCAAAAGGAAGCATACATTACATTTGGTTTGAAATTTACACAGCTTTGTTACATTTGTATTAAGTAAATGTGTCAGAAGACATATCTCTACAGGTTATCATGACATTTACTCTCCCATTGTTTACTGAAGCTACAAGGAATCCTTATCACATGCAGTGCTACAGGAGGATGACTGAAATAAAGACTATATACAATATTTTACACAAATGGGAAGGAGAACCTTTGCTGTTCTATTAATTCACCTACTGCCCTGATCCCTAGTGTCAGGATCACATTATGCAAAATAATCTCTAATTTTAGAAAAGAACATTAATGTATTTTTTATTTATGGCATGACAATCTGGGCAATAAACAAAGGCATGTCACGGGGATGTATTCACACACCATCTTTTAATATACTGTAGTCCAGACAGTCAGGTAGCATGCTTGTTCTATTGTTCATTCTTAGAATGCATAGCTTGGATAATCTAGCGTAAAGCTTTGCCTTTGCAGTGTTCTAGATTACTGTGTGACAGATAAAAATATATATTCCAACTCAGTTAGTTATCTCCAGCAAAATTTCCTATATAATGCTGAAAACAACAGATTTTAGTACACTTTATGTAATCTATGTGATGGAAACTGACATTTGAGTCATATAATATAGCAGTGTATATCTCATATATCTGAGAATGGTAAAAATAAGCTTTGGGGAACACAGTATCTGTTATCTCAGCATATATTGTAAGTATAATTTCCCTGATATAAACTATCAGTGTTCTGATTTGCAGGCATTTGATTTTCAGAATGTGATAACTCAAAGCATAAACACAGGTTAACACAAAACAATGAGATACTATATAATTCTTCTGAGTGATCTCTATGATCTCTAGTATGCTTAATAGCTATGATTTCAAACCATACTGGGTGACATCTCTATTACTGGGAAGAATAATTACAGTGTTTCCAATGCAAAGTGGTATCACTAATTACACTAGAACTATGGAATTCTAAGTAACTCTTTCTGTGTCTTTGCAAATGCAGTTGATACCCAAACACCTAAAATTAGATACATAACTTCAGTACCCAAATTTGGAGGTAATGCCCTGTGGTGATCAAAAAGATTCCTTCATAGCAGAATTTGACACAGAAACCCAGACTAGGCAACCCAAATTGTTAACCTTGAATTGTAGGGCTGAAATAACTCATCTTTCATCTCCTGCCATAGATATACCAAAAAGCATAGTCTCCTGATGTGGGCATGTACAGAACCTTCCTGCAGCTGGGTGGTGTGAATAGCTCAGTAGCATCACTCCTTCAGTCCTTGTCTATCAGGAACCTGTAAGTCCAGCTTTGGCTTCATATTTAACATTGCCAGGGTTAGAAACCTTAGAAGTGTTTCTATGGTAAACTGAAGTGCTTTGCAAAAAACAGGCTGATTCATCTGCCCACCACAGAAATGACAGCACCTGAACCATTAGAACCTGGTTAGTATAGTACTTTACCCAGCCTGACTAGTCCTGCTCACAGCAAGCTCACAGCAATGCTTCCACTTATTAAAATTAGCTTTGCCCCTGGCTTAGGCATCTCTGCACTCTACCGAAGTAACCACCTAAGTCACCCTTGTACATAATGGATGTCCTGTTGTG